GTTCTTTCACAATGTTTTTCTTCTAAAGGAATTTGGAAAAAACCCTGCTGAAAGTCAAGAGAAGTATACAGACATTGATTGGCACATAGGTCCACGATATCTTGAATATTAGGTAGAATCGATTGCCGTGATCGGGTAATAGAGTTTAGGCCGCGGAAGTCAATAGTGAAACGCCAGCTCTGAGAGTCCTTCTTCCTCACGAGAACAATAGGGGCACAGAAGGGTGAATTACTTTCTCGGATTATCCCATTTTGTAACATCTCATAGATTTGCCGCTCGATTTCAGCTCTTTTCTCCAGCGGAACTCTATAGATCTTACGTGCCGGAATTTCAGCATTCTTTATTAGATCTATCCGGTGTCGTATGGGACCATTATAGTGGCCTAATTGGCCATCCGGGCCTACGAAAGCATCCGTGTGGCTTCTCAATATGTCTTTTAATATTTCTAGATCTTTTGGAGCGAGTGTACACATGGAGAAGTCAATTTCGGAGACCACATCATAAGGTCCAGGTTTAGGACGAGCAAGGAGAGGCATTTTGCTTTCCCAATCAGCCTCTGGAGGCACATAGGGCAAAGCCAATCTTTCACGGAAGTCCACACTAGATATTTGTGCCGCAGTGTCTACAAATTGCACGCCTCGGTAATCCTCTACTCCATAAACCTCGGCCTCCTCATCTGGTAACGGGGTTGCCAAGGCAACATACATCCCTTGATAGAGATATATGTTGGAGTAAGAAGCATTCATGATCAGGATACAACATTCCCCACTAAAAGTGGGAGTAACCAAAGATCGTCCTACAACATAAAGCTCGGGAAAAGGTCGGAAATTATCTTCAATCAAGAAGTCCGCCGGTCGGGTTGAAAAGTAACCTTGTATGATGGCTGGTACTAGATTACTGGATCGACTAGCCAAAACGGTGTCCTCTAACAATCGAACTTTATGCGGTTGCGCTGTTCTCAGTTCCGAAAGCAACATGGCATTTGACACTGGGGTCATAACCTCCTCCGTTGCATCCAAAGGTCGGACTAGTTTCACCGAATTTGATCCAATCGTAACAATGTTACGATGGAAATCAATTG